CTCTGCCTGTTCCTGTCCATATCATGTCCCAGGTTCTCAATTCAACTTGAGGACACTGAGCTTCTTGTATAGCACCCTCATCCAAGTGGCTGCAGGTTATCCTCCTCCTTCCTGTGCCTCCCTTCCCCCACCCACTCAGAACCTTCTCTTTCTGCTGCTTTTACTTCTGAGCCTTTGTTCAAGTTTTGCTTCTTCCCCCGAGTGGCTCACCCATTTTCTTAGCCTGTTCCAGATGGGCCCATTCTTTAGGGTCTTCATCCCACCTTGACCCATCAACAGGATTTCTTTTAAAAAATTACTCTTACTATTTTAAAAAATATTTTATTTGTTATTTTTGTTTTAGTGCATGAGTATATTGCCTGCATGTGTAAGTGCACCCACGTCATGCAATGCCAGTGGAGGATGTTGGATTCTCTTGGAATTGGAGTTACAGATGGTTGTTAGCCACCATGTGGGTGCTGTGACTTGAACCCAGGTCCTCTGCAAGAGCAGCCAGTGCTCTTAACTGCTGAGCCATCTGTCTTTCCTTTCCTTTCCTTTCTTTTTTTGAGACAGGGTCTCTCTGTAATCCCACCTGGCCAGGAACTCGCTATGTAGACCAGGCTGACCTTGATTTCAGAGATCTGCTTGCCTCTGCCTCCCAAGTGCTGGGATTAAAGGCACACACCACCACGTCTGGCTCATCAGGATTTCTTGATTATTCAGACCCTCTTTGACTTCTGCCCACCTCCCTCTCATTCTGGGCTCATCTAATTCTATCTAGAGGCTTCTCTTGATCGCTCTCACCTTCTTGTGTTTATGGCCTGACTCTCTATCAGCCTGCTGAGGTCAGAGGCTGCACCTCTATGCTCAGCATAGGACTGTGGTGACACTAGTCATGGGGGGTACTCTAACAGAAGCATGATTTTGCACAGATTTTGATACTGGCACAACATGGCGCAGTGCTCTTCTCCATGTTTTGTTGTCAGGCTTGGACATTTTTTATGTTTACGTGACTAATGTGGTAGATTTTTTTCATTTGTTGATTCAAAGGTAATAGTGTTCATAACCTGAATCAGGTGCTGGGTTCTGTGTTAGTTTTGCACGGATTTGACAAAATACAAAAGAAAACCAACCAAAGATTCATTTTGGCCCCTCACTTCAGAAATTTCAATGCATGGTCAGCTGGTTCCACTGCTTTAGGGCCCAGGTGAGCCAGAGTTATCATGGCAGGGAGTGTGTGGTAGACTGGAGCTGCTCACCGCACAGCAGCCAGGAAACAAAAGAAGAGAGGAAGGGTCCAGGGACAAGGCACATCAAACAACTAGCTTCCTCCAACTAGGCCCCACCTTGGCTATGGATTAATCTATTGATAAAGTGAGTGCCCTCATGATTCAGTCACTTTCTCGGTAGCACCATCAGCTGAAGACCAAGCCTTCAATACATGAGACTTCAGAAATATTTTATATCCAAACGAAACAGGCTCTGAAGTTGTTCTCAAAACAGATGCTCTGGGCTCAGAAATATGTTAATCTGCAGAAATCATTCCATGAGTGGCCATAGTGGAACCAGAAGAGAGGAATCAGAGTGTAGGGCAGGGACCAACAACAGTCTTACCTCTACTTAATCTTTGTTTTTGCAACTGTGGGGTTGAATCTAGGGCCTCATGCATCTCATATGCAAAGGCTTTACCACTGAACTATATGCCAACTCATACAGTGTTACTTTAAGGACAATGAATTTCCGCTTCAGATAAGTAAGGGCAAACCTTCACTTTTCCTTTTGGTTACTTGTTGAGTCATACATGGTAAGCCTACAAACATGTAGTACATTGATTTTAGACAATATATAGACCATGTAAAGAACTGCCTCGTACTCCAAGGTATGGAAAATTTCTACAAGTCATTTTTATCTCAGAAATCTGCTTTATTGTACTTTTATAGATTTTAACTAATGAGAGGGAGAGTTGAAAATGGCTACCCCAACATGACTGGAAAAAGAAAGGGAAATAGGGGCTACAATAGGTTATTTCTGTAGGTTATTTCTAGGGATTCTAGTTCTAACTCAGCCATTTTCCTTATCCATAAGCAAAAATGGGCAAGATAACAACATAGTTTCATTCCTGGAGTCACCGTTGCATCTACACTTTTGCGTCTCTGTATATTTATAGACACCAGAACTATCTTCTCAATTGCTCCTCATGATAAACCTGTAAGGCGAATGTGGCTGGGGATATTATCCCCATTACATAGATGGATGGGTTGAAGCTGAGCAATGCTAGATGCTGGCTAAGGATTCATTAGAATGGAAACTCTTCCTTCTACTCCACAACAGTTTCTTCTTAGCAGAAGACTTGTGCCTATGGGTGTATGTTGGTATATGGGAGAATGCAAGCATCTGTCTGTTGGGTTTCTTTGATGTGTGAATGTAAACCATATAGTTACCAGGTGGATCCATGATTGCTGCGGATCCAACCATCTTCTTTGCTGATTGTTTTTGTCTGCTGATTGTGCTGTGTTGTATAACTTACACTGAGTGCATTACATACGCAATTAAAAACGGTAACTGGGCCAGGCATGGTGGCACACTCGGGAGGCAGAGTCAGGCGGATCTCTGTGAGTTCAAGGCCAGCCTGGTCTACATAGTAAATTCCAAGCCAGCTGGGCTACAGAGAGACCCTGTCTCAAAAAGACAAACAACAAACAAACAAACAAACAAACCCAAAAAGGTAACTGGAGGGAAAAGGGCGATGGAGAGAGAAGACACATTGGAGAAAGAGCTAACAGCCAGTAGTACTCTGTGCCCTCCACCAGCATTAAGACATGCACTCTTACTGCTTCTACAAGAAAGGCTGCTGCCATTGCATCCATGTTACAGATGCTGAAATAAAAACTGAGAGAAGTTAGATAACTTGCCTGAATAGTCAGAACCAGGATATGAAGCCAGGTGACCTGATTTCAGCTTGCGCCCTAACCGCTCTCACGCCAATAAGCCTTTGTGAACTGCTCAAATAGAAAGTATGATTTCTTTTTACTCTCCCCATAGCCCCATCCGACCTAGAACTCACTATGTAGACCAGGCTGGCCCCAATCTAACAGATCTCTTCCTGTCTCTGCTTCTTGAGTGCAGGGATTAAAGGCATGTGCCATCATGCCCGGTATGAAAGTATGATTATTTTTTTTTTAAAGGATGTCCACCTACACCTACAGCTAGCAAGACGACACTGGAACGAACATAGTGTATACTGCTGGTAGCATTGACAGTGGTTTTTTTTTTTTTCAGAAAGAGCTATAAAATCTTCTGTAGTTGACCAAGGAATGCCAATCGTAGTTTATTCTAAGCTTGCCATTTAACCAAAGCAAGAAGTCAGGTGTGAGAAGTTTATTGTATATCTGTAATAATGGAAAACTACAAGCAAATGAACTAGCCTAGAATAAGGTATGATCAGGTAACTTCACAATACATTCATTAGCTGGACTATTATGAAAACATTTAAAATGATAGCTACAGCTATGTAAAAGGGCAGGACAATGGGACCTATGTTAAGACTCATAACTACACGGATTATGACCACTAATGTCTTTGCATATGGAAGAAGGGCCTGAAAAGAACAGAAGAAACTATGGTAGGTTGGTTAAAATTCTTGTGGGATTATATTCCTTCCACCGTCATGTGATTGTACCAGCTAGTCCACACTAGATTCATTAATTACTGGGTTTGGAAGAGAAGCCTGGTCCTGTCCTGCCAGCTAGTGAGCCCCCAAGTGTTCTCTGGCCTTGAATGGACAGTAAGCCTTTTCTGAGAGTTGTACGGTCTGGGATGGTGTGTTTCCAACTGGGTGGGCTGAATGGTCATGAACATGGTCTTGGCTGTCCACTGAGAGCAGAGTTTGAGGGTGAAGGCGCTTCGCTTTCTCTTCTGAGTATCTAATTGGCTGGCCAAAGGGTCACACATGACATGGTAGCTGTTCCTCCACGTGTGAATCTGCAAAATCCCCGATGTCACATATTTGCCTGTGACTATGGAAGTGGGCGTGCCTGTGCACATGGCTGCGTGTGCCTGAGTTAGCTCAGGTGAACGGTGGAGAAAGGGACCTGGGATTCTGGACAGTGTGTTGCTATATAGATTGTATGGACATCTCAGGGAATGTGTGGTTTTTAATCAAATAATTGGGAGCTTTGTGCACCGCAAGAACAAGACTGCTGTGCGTCAGGCGTGAAGCTTGGAGTGTGCGGTCTTACCTGTGTCTGCATTGTGTGTCCGCATCTGTGTGCTTTGGGGAAAGCGTTCTCAGCATGTGTCCTGCGTTAACAAGGCATTTGTTCGGAGTGTGCATGCCTGTGCGGCAGGGCCTGGGTCCTGTTTGCGACTGCTTGATCGCTTTCCAGCTACACTGGCGCCCGCAGTCGGGCTCTGCACGTGCGCCAGCCTCTCTGCGCACGTCCCCAAGTGACCCATGCGCGGTGTCCAGGGACCTCCGGGTCCGTGTGCACCCTGTGCACTCCCGCCCGGCTCTCCGCAAAGACGTTACCACCTTCCACAAGTCTGGCAGCACATCCCTCCCCGTGTGTACGCTCCATGTGCACGCTGCCGGCGTGTGCATATGTATATGTGTGTGTGCGTGTGCGCGGGGGGCCGCGCGCTGAGGCCCGAGCACCGCGCCGGGCTCCACGCGCCCCGCGGCTG